TTTGCGTGCTGTTTCCTATAGCTAGTGCCATGTTTTCAATGACCTCATAATGTCTGAGTAATAAGCAAGCAGTTCCCGGGAATTTGACCGGGACATCATATTTTTCTTAATGATATTTACCTCTTAGACAGTTTGCTTCGAATGTGATTTCCAATTATCGAACATGCTTGAAAATGCTAAGTTAAAAAGCCATGCCTAATCAGCGCGTATAGCACAATATTATGCTATTTCAGGGCTATAAATTAAATGGAAAAGAGAGTTTTAAATTATAAAGGTATACTTAACGTAGCCTAGTAATTATATACTAAGTATGTTTTAAGAATTTAAAATGTTAGATGTCGAATCAGATAGATTTTTCCGTACATGAGTCCACATTTGTTCCTTAACAAACTTCCTTCTTTAGAAGAAAGCTTACAAAAGAAATTTATTTGATTTGCAATTCTAATGTTTTGAGTTTCAGTGTAAAAGTATCTTACCCGATGTTAATGAAAATTTGTAAACAGGAGATACCTTCTGCAGCTCAGTTGTTCAGAGATACCTTTTTCAACACGTGCTCCAAGCCCGATTTCTTTCTAATATAATATGAAATCATCTTAACATTTCCATCCTGTTTGCTGATGCTTATTTAAAGTAATAAAGTATCATAAGAATTTCACATGGAAACCTTTTTCTTTCATTATACCATTTCAACTATTATTCATTCTACTGTAATGAGCAACTCATTATCCTAGTGTCAATGCTTGCACATTTTGCATTATGTAGAATATATTCATATATATTTCAGTATGTTTTGTAGATTCGAGAGATATATAAGAAAATTTTGAAAGCTATATAAGAAAGAGACAGAGACAAAAATCAAAGATAAAATTAAACAAGCATTTAATTTCAAACTGGCGTTTGTTATTTTAATAAACCAACCCAACTTACTGTTGAACTTTTTATTTATTTATTTATTTTTTAACTTTCGAATATTTCTCGAAAACATATGAGATATTTGCCCCTCGCTGAATTAGCGATCGCAACGAAAATTATAATCTCTGTTTACCAAGCGGGAAAATTTATGTAAATATTTTAATTTAAAAGTATTTTTTATTGAAGCTCCGTACATAGGTTGAGGATGAAAGGGAAACAGGCCTGCGACTAAATATTTCTTGAATGCCTAGTCACTGATCTAGATGATCCACATTCAGGAAACGAAAGTGGTCTTCATGTATGTGATAATTTTGGTTATATGACACCTTCAAGTAAGAAACATAATAATGCTCATGTTTTCTATGGGACTTGTAGGTATAAATTGCATATGAGTAAAAATGCGATCCCAGCCCAATTAGATAAATAATATAAAATGAAACGATCTAAATTACTCCAAATGTCATTAATTAAAGCTTTGTGAAATAGTATATGAGTTTTGTTGAAGACAGTGACACATGCTAAGCTTTCGAATGCAAGTTTTTAAAGGAATCTTTTACAGTAGGAAAACATGAATAAAAAAGTGCGGTTTCAAATGCACATTTACAGAAATGCCCGAATTCTAAACTTTGCATTAGTTTTCAGTTTTCATTCATAATAAAAATCTGCGATATTGCTTTCTTTCTCTTCGGGCGAAAGTAAAGTATGCCATGCAATTGAGACACTTTTCTTTCAGGACCAGTTTTGCATATTTACAAAAATGGATCCCTTTATATAAATTATCTTTAGCAAGACAAGGAGCCGCACATTATTTCTTTGTATGAAACCTATATTAAAATGTTAATCTTATGTATATTATATTAAAACTGTCAGGAAACTCAAACTGTTATAATCTGAAAGAAATTAATTCATTTTAAAACTGAAATATAATTGAAACCATGAGCTTACAAGTCAGTTTGTTTTAACCACTCTTTGTTCTTACCCTCTTTGCATCATACATCACACAGCGCCCACCATCGGCCGAGCGGTAATGACGCGGAACACTGGTAGTTCGGTCCGAGGTACGAATTCCGCGAACGGGCTGGCTGCATGGGCGTTTTCGTGGTTTCCCCCATGTGTAACGTGTATACGAGCCAGTTTCCCTTAGAAAGTCCTCCACGAAGGCATCCCTTCCTTTAGGCAGATAGCCCTCGTGTACTTTGCCATAATTGAATAATCCCAATCCCATACATCACACATTGGCATATCCTCAAAAGCGATATCTCCACACAAAGAAATTATCTGAAATCGTGGCTGATCGTCTTAAGCTGGTTTCATTGTATAATTGACCCTGAATTAACTGGGTTTAAGAGTACCATCTTGCGAAAATTCGTGTATGCGGTTCACCACCCGTAATTAATTATTAAAGGCTTTCTGTTATAACCAGGTTTCTAACAATAATACAACTACTTCATAATTACATTTTGTACATAAATCTTTCATAACTGTACGCTGTCAATAAAGCAAGCTAAAGTCTATCGGGCATGATCAGCCTTCTAAAAGTATTTCGAAAGGAATTAACCTAGCTCATTGCAATATTCACAGCAGGGGTTAACAGAGAAATAAAAATATTTATACTAGATTTACTCTGTATTACTAAAATTACTCTTATTTTATTGCAATGGAAGATAAAATAACTAAGTATTTATATATATTTTATATATTCATGACTTACCTAACTTCATAAAGTTTATATTTTATGAAGATATGTATATGATGATTTATCTGTTAGCCTTTTTCAAATGGTTGCAAACTCCAAAACATTTTCCAATACATTTATAGAAAAATTCAGCGTATAATCTGACCTACATACTTAGAAATTCAAATATATGCTCTTGAAAATTTTGCTGCTATCGCTTTCTCTGAGGCAGAAAATTTCGTGAGCGAAGTCAAAATAGACAATATTAAAGTGCTTGGGAAACTGATTGAGAATTAAGAAAATATTAGTACATTCCCATATTTCGTACTTTTATAACAACTCATTTTGCTATTAATTGCTTCTGACCATGTATTGAAAAATCATGTAATGAATAATTCCCAGACATTTCATGAAAATAATATGTGGCACTATTATGAACACATTACATTCTGTCTATGTAAGCTTTAATTTTAGATTTTCATTTTAAAGCGGTAAAAAGGCTGAAGGAAGTATTCAAGAAGCATATTTATTTAGAATTTCAAGCAACTGGCGGAAAATAAATCTTTTTTTTTTCTAATTGCACTGATATTATACAAAACTTACTTTTGCTGTTTTTTCTATTCTTTGTGTGGAATTTCAGAGTCTTGAAACATATAGCTGGAGATTCGTAGTATGGAAGAAACATGCAATGCAAAAATCTATCTTTTGACAGTCTTTCAGTCTCAGTCAGAAGAAAGAGACAGAGATCTATTTATAGACATTCTATAATAATAAGATAATCTTTTTTTAAAATGACTTACTTTAATTGCCAACTCTTTCTAGGGTACACAGAAATCTCGAAGTACTCTGAACTCTGTTATCTCGAAGACAAATAATAGTAGGCAGTACTCCCAAATTATCTATAAAATTAAAGAAGAGAGAGCAATATTTCAGAAATTATAAATATACAGTTCTTTAAATATTATTTTGTTCCCTAAGAAAAGTTTAATTCTCGTTTTCGTAGGTAACAACTTCAGAGATGTCCAAATACATGACTGCTACTTTTGTTGTTGTGCTAATCTTCATGATGATAGCCAGCCTGTCAGCAGGAGCCAGAAAACCTCCATTTAATGGAAGCATATTTGGAAAAAGATTCATGCGAGACATAGGTAAATGTATATTATTTCTTCCTTATTTTACAATATGAAGTAATTTTACAGTTTGCGGTATTGTTAAGCCGATGAGAAGTATAACAGTTGTATCATGTATTAAATGATAAATTTCACTTTTCCTTTTGGACGAAGCGTGTTATGCAGTAAATATGCAACAGGTTAACTCCTAATTATAAACGTACTTTTAAGTAATTCATTTGATTAGAAAATTTTCGAAATATTAATTCAAAGATGAGAATTATAAATGTGGTATTTCAAATTCAACAGAAGTTTCAAACGAATTCCTCTAAAATAAAAGTTATGTTAATCTCTTCAGCAGAAAACAAAACTTAAATATTTTTGAGATTTCGTATGACGAATTCAGAATTTGTATAATTATGTTGAAATGTGCAACTAATTACTTTCGCATACTGACAATAATTCAAAGGCATACTGTTTGAAAGCAATAAAATTTGTGATCGAAGTAGGATGGTTTGGTTTATTTGATTATGGCAAAACACTCGAGGGATATCTGCCTAAAAGGAGGGATACCTTCGTGGAGGACTTTCTATGGGAAACTAGCTCGTATACACGTTACACACGGGAAAAGCCACGAAAACGCCCATGCAGCCAGCCCGTTAACGGGATTCGAACTTCGGACTGAGCTATCAGTCTTCAGCGACTTTACTGGTTTGGCTTGATCGAAGTAGGAATGAGATTTTTTAAATTAAAAAGTTGCATTTCATGCCTCATTGCTTTATGTATCAAGACTCAGCAGCTGTAATTAGAAATATAAAACTCAGCAAATGTAATCATAATCCAAAACTGCAATTAGAATGACTTTCGTTACTTCAGAATTTATAATTTGCAGCTGCAAGAAAGGAAGCAAAATGAATAATGAAAGCAAAAATCCTTTTGCCTTAGTTCCTGTAGTTGCTATATTTTATACTTTATATTGATTGTATTTTATATTTTATGATAGTATTTTATACTTTGTATCGTATTTTATATTTTTTACAGTACTTTGTATTTTGCATTGTATTTTATACTTTTCTGAACTTTGTATTATTATGATTATTATGTTTGCTACCTTAAAAAACAAAAAGATTTTGACTTTGTATTAATTGCAGTTGCTTGTTATATTTTATCTAAGTTATTTCATTAAATATTTTTTTAGATATAGACAACAGAGCAATTGACTATCGTCATCCTGTTTGTGAATATATCTTTGATTCCTGCAGTCAGTGGTTCACGGCAAGTCAAGAAGGGCAATAACTTCTGGAATCTTTTTCAAACGTATGTGTGCGTCACAATCAAAAAAAGGGGTATTGAGGACTTAATTATTATGTAAATGTGCATCTCTTGTTTTGCGTTCACGCTTAGATACTTATCATCTATATTTTCTTACTTATTTATTTCGAATTAAAATTTATTTCATCAATAAGTTATTTCTCTAATTCAGACTTCAAATTCGAACAGTATTTGCGTATTGTCAGAAGAAATCAATTGGTTACTTATTAAAATTAAAACATTTTTCCAAAGCTCTGAAATCTGTCATAATGCTTTGAGTTCCAAATTGTATTAAAATTCCTGTCTCAGTTTAGCTTCTCAAATACTGAAAGAAGGAAAGAATTTGTATCTCAGAGAAAGTTTCTGCCATTTTTAATGAACAAAATGCTTTCTATCTAGCTCTCAATAAGTAAATGCAATTTTAAAATATTTTATGCAAGAAATATAGTACCAGAAAATTTTATTTTAAGTAAGTATTTATGCTTGTAATTGATTACACGAGCTATATCACAGGTTAGTACGATATTTTTAAGCATGTACTTCAAATAAGGTTTAATGTTATTGACGCTAACTATCTGAAATTTAATTCTGTGTTGCATTATCCTAGAAATGCTAACAGTTTCAAAACAGAAAAAAAAAATTTAATTCCAAAATTCATTTGTTTGAAAACATTCATTTTAAGCAGTTTTAAAAAAAATCTATACAGCTCTTTTCTATTTTAATTTTGATTTAGTTGAACTGTTAACTTTCAAAGCCGATTCAAAAAGCAGACCTCAACGTTTACTATAAAGAGAGAGAGGTTTTACTGTTAAAGTAATTACATAATGCAATTAACAATGACAGACATTTTACAGTTAATTAAAAAACTTTATTTAAATTTAAGATTAAACGCAGCATATGAGGGAAATCTGTGTTCTTCAGATATTGCTAAAATAATGAAAATTGTCAGCAAAAGGTCCCCTTCATTGAAAGACTCTATTAACAAATCAATGGGGGAGGTTAATAACCTTTGTCTTTATTTTTAAAGCGTTATTAAAGATGGGAAAAACTGTTAACCATAAGTTTTCCCTAATTTTTAAAATCAATTTAACTACTAAAACAAGTAACTTCACTAATCGCACGTATCAAAACCTAGTTAAATATTGAAAGAGCATTACTCGCTATAGGTAGAACTTCTAGAAAATGTTTCAGAACTATACTGCACTGGATGGTTTAATTATGGCAAATCCTTAAAAATTAATAAATATTTCTGGAACTACGAGTTCAGTAATATATGAGAAAGTTTTAATATAAATCGCATCTTAAATCGGATATTCGGAATAATTCTTAATTTTTATGACTAGAAATCCATCAGACTTTCTTCAGTTAGTCACACTGCTTAAAGGTGTCAATAATTTACATATTCTCACCTTTACTAATTCTTTTTTTCCTCAGACCGTAAGTACTGAACTAAAATAAAATTGAAAAGTAAAATAAAAATTATTATCTCTAATAATAATAATAAAACCAAGACAATAATCTAGTTGCTACTATCTCTTACGTTAAATAAAGCTGAGACTGAAACTGAAAACATAATTTGTATTAAAATGGCTGAAAGTTTATTTAAACCTTTATTTGGTTAGAACTGAGAGCAAAACAGAAAAATATTAATCAATATAGAATAGAGTACATTAACTGCACTAAAATGCAATATTTTGCAGTTCAATAAATATTCAATAAAAATGTCACTTAAATAGTCTGAAGATCCGTACATTTTACATTTTATACTTAATTATTATTTCCTACTATACTTCCATTTTTCTTTACTGATGGTTGCTTTATTTCTTTTTCAGCTCTCCTCTTCAGCAATTCACGAATTAATAGAACATCTGAATAAACAAAACAGATGCATAATCTATTGTAACTTAAGAAAATAAAACTGTGATTTCACAATACTCGTTTTGTTTTATTCAACAGAGAAGATGAACAATTGTTTTTAGATTCTTCAGAGTTGTTAAAAGGGTTAGAAAGCTTATGATTGTTAGAAACGAGATGTATCAGGAGTTCACTAACATGAATCAAGGTGCATGTTGAGGAATCAAACATTTTTCTTGTACACATTTGTATATGTGTATATACGTGTGCGCGCGCGTATGGGACTTATTTATAAGAACAATGAAAGTAGAAAGAAATGTGTTAGAGATATTCAAAATTTTCTAACGGTAACATATTCTGTACAGTTTTAAGCTTACTGGTTATTATAAAAAGAGATAAAAATGTTATCTTAAACTAAGCATCGTCACAAGAATAATACAGTGTTCTTAACATACGGAATAATTTTGCTTTCGGTTTTTTAAAATGGGTATGAAAATTTACAACTCTTTTGTTGATTAATTATGCCTAAAGCGAAGCATTTCATTTAAAAGTACTCTCAACTATTATCTAACGGTTGAACAATTTCTGACACAATTTAGCCGGAATGCAGATAAATTTTAAAACTGTATGATGCATAGTAATGACCAATTTCTATTCAAATAGCTTAATTTACCGCCAGCCTACATTAACATTAAAAATTCAAGGACGTGTAACGCCACGCCGTTTAGATTACAGTCCCACCCGTGCCTGTCGAGCAACCATGGGAATGACTTTCTCCTGAAAGATTATGATGATCAAACTGCAACCAAACCATTCCAATGAAATATTGAAATAGAGACATATTTAATGCCCGTTCGCGCAGTTTCTATCGCGTAAACTGTCTTCTCTTTCGAAGGGATGGTAAGCAGAATTTGAAATTAGTTTCGGAGAGTTTCTCTAGAGGCTCTGTGGAATCATTTGTTGCACGGAGTTGCTCTTCATGAGTTGGAGCGGATATAAACTTCTTGATTTGATACTTTACTTTAGGAGATAAAAAGATTTTCATGGAATATAATGGTCTTTATCTAAACAATTTTGTGACAAGCAAAAGAAATTAATTTCATAGAAGTAAGTGTGAATTTGAATATAAAGAAATCAGATCAGTCTCTGGGCAAATGTTTAAGGCACATTGTTATAATTTTCTCGTTATTGAATACAAAACTTCATTAAGTTTTAAAATAATTTCAAGACCGTAATGGAATAAATGCAGAAAGTATAACGTATAGAGCTTGTAAAAAACAGCTTAATTGAACTCAAAATATAGTCATCAAATTCTGAACCCCAGGGAAATGTTTGTTTCTTTTGAGTAAACTTTAATCTAAATCCTAAATTAGGAATTCCATGATAGAAAGATAACCCTGGTGAAATGTTAACTTTATTCTTGAAATCCATTGATGATTTTTTTCCCGCCATTTTCAGAGAAATTTACATATTTTTTTATCTAAATAAAGCTAAGTTTTGCTTAAAAACTAATAATCAAAAGACATATCTTTAAAATTATTATCGGAAGGTTGCAATTGTTTCGAAAGCGAAATAAAAGCAAAAGTATAGGCAGATCAATATTTAAGTTTTTTCGATCACCAAAAATAGCCGGAGAAAACATAATAACATGCTTTCCACCTTGAACTGAATTGAGCTTTCTGCGTAACTTCAACTCCCATCGGGTATAAAATTAGGTCACATGTCCCACTGAAAACTTTAGAGAACTAATTATTAGGTTATTAGGTCACATATGCGATGCTTACTCCCCCAAGTGACTGAATAACAAAGAATCAGGGAAGAGACTAAAGATGGGAGAGTATAAATTCTCAGATGAATGTAAGTTTGTAACATTTGCTCTCCGAATTCATTCGACTTCGGTAAAAATTTAGCTGATGCGAGAAAATCAAGCAATTCCCAAGCATTTATATTTAAAGTAACACAAATGTGAGTGAGCAGTCCCAGTCTCAAACTTTGGAATCTTTATACCTCCCAAAAGGTAATATTTATCTTTCCGCTTTTCTTCCCTCTTTGCATTCTTTAGCCCCATTTTAAGTTTTCAGTTACGTTACGTTTTATTATTCCCCTCTTGAATAAATGTGAAAATTTTGATTCGATAAATTTGGCAACGAATTCTGGATAAAATAAAATCATCAAAATTTAGAGAAGTGAATTTTGTGTCGCTCAGACAATAAGTCTTGGAAAACATTCTGAGTTTTGTCTCCATTTTTAATCCGTCACATTTTGCACTGAATATTAATCGAATACGCAAATTTAACACATTATTGCTTAATGTTAACAGACATACAAGTTTTTTTTATTATTCTAACGATATATATATATATCAGTAGGGATATTATGTACATTCGGTATAACTCAATTTTTTTATTAATTTTTCGGAGTAAAACTTGTTTAATTTGGAAGTACTGTAGCTGAATAATAAATGCGAAGCAAACCTAACTAAGTTAAATTTACTGTTTCTGCAAATGACAAAATGAATTCGAGTCAAACAATCCTGCATGTGGGCTCTGGATAAGTTTTCCTTGCTCCTAGCCTAACAGTTAGACAAAATATTCTCTTATCTATGTATTTTTTTTTTCATTGACTTAGACTTGGCCACTACTAAGGCCGGCAGTGGTGGCCTGTGGAAGCATCTAATTGGTGAGCCACTGTTACCAACTATGAACGACAAAAAATTACAGCCATGCCTGCTCCGAAATTATAACCCGGGACCTTCGGTACCACAGTGGACTTCCCTAACCACAATACCGTCTGGGCGGCTTCGTATGACTTTTGTCTTATGGATATTTATCGAACTCCATTAACTTTTTAAAGGATTTATATATTCTAATGATCAAATTTGTCTTCCTAATTTCTCAAAATTGTGATCTAGAAAGACAAATGGGTAAATACCTTCTTAAGTTTTTCATGATAGCTTTAAGCAGGAAGAAAAGCATTTTTCTCGAATGACGATGCAATTAAATAAAAGTGCGTAACATTTTCACGGATAATTAAATATGATTACATAGGTGTAACATATTTAAAGATATTTCTCATCAAAAATTATTTATTGTTTTATTATAAGTAGGATTCAATTAAAATTCATAGCTAGAAAAAGAATCACATCGTTTTAATAACATTGGAAATAAGAAGCGGGAAAAGGAAATTATACCCTTTAAATCAACAGTAGTAGTATTATTGAAAATGAATATTTGCGTCATTTGAAACATTTTTGTAATTAGAAGAATATATAGTTTGGTTATAACTTTGTAATTAGAAGAATGAATAGTTTGGTTATAAATTTATTTCAGTAACTGCTGAAGTATTTTAGCTTTAAATCAAAAGCGCCACTTCAAATCCAACTTCGAGATGACTCAAAAATCCTTCACGGAATCCCTAATTTTTTTCGTTTTCTAGTGTCAGCAGCAACGAAAAAAACATTATTGTGTAATATCGAGTTCAAGATTAGTTAATCGGTGATATTAATTAATCAGTAATAATCAAGTTAAATAGTTAATCACTAATAATTAACCCATTAGTTAGTTACTCGTTAGTTAATCAACAATCATCAAACTACCTTATCAAGACATTTTATTTTCTCCTTCATTTACATAGTTCTGGGGGGGGGAGAGAGGTTGATATGAGCAAGAAAACTAAAATGATTAAACGGATAGCTAAAATCGTGAAACCTTCCAACTTCCTTGAGCTAGACTGACCTTCAGTGACATAGTCAAGATAGTAATTATTTCTAAATTTAAATTTAAAAAGTTTAAATTTTGATTGAATTAAGATTTATTTAATACTGGAAATCCTTTGTTAAAATTTTTTTTTAATTTTATTTCCAGAGCAATTAAATTTATTTTGTTCACTTCCAGTTGCTTAATATTTTGAATCAAGTGTGTAATTTGATTACAGAGGAAGCGCATTTTCATCTGATTTTAATTATTCTCATTACTACAGTGCATCTGAAATGTATCATAACCTTTTATAAATAAACTTTTAAATACCTTAAAAAATAAAGACACGAAACCCTTTCGAGAAAATGCGATTCATAAGATATCTCAAATCATTTGGAATGTAAACTTTTCTAACATGAGACGATAAAATTCAGATAATGAAACCGGATAATATATAGTAACACAAGGAACTGCAAAAATTGTTGAAGACACACGCGTAAGATTGCGTGCATATTATAGCACAAGCATTTTAATTTACTCGGATTTTCTACTGTAACTCGAAATCTCTTGAAACAAAAATTTAAATAAAAAAGCTATGTATAAAGGATCGAATAGCTGATTTAAAGCTATGCATAAAAGTTCGAAGAACAACGGACATTGCTCCTACTAAAGATTAAAAAACTTTGCTGTGAAATTTTAAATATTTGAAGAAATTTTGTGATTTTCATTCAGATGGTCTACGATGAATTTGTAGACCTCATTTAGGCTATAATTCATATCAGAAAGATTAGCAATAGCGCAACAGCATATTAGTTTTTCAAACAGTTTTGATGTTAGAAAACATCGATAGTTGAGACTCTCCTTTTTTTCTCTCTAACATGCTTTGTTCATTCCTATTCCTCCAATTTGTTCGTTCCTATTCGTCATGCTACTCCTTCAATATGCTATGGTTGCGTTAGCTACCAGAATATTTAGCATCCGTGCAGCGTCGCGCATAGATAATTCTCAGAGGTCTGGAAGTTCGATGCCTTTAAATTCTTAAAATTACCGTTCAAATTAAAATTAAACAATATTTAACGTACAAAGCGATTTCAAAGCAATACATGCGTTTCTTAATAATTTATATTTTTATTTTATTTTTGGAAATAGTTTCTTTATCTGATGCAATTTATAATATAATTAACTCAGGCAATGTAGAGTATACCTAACTGATGACATCTGAAAATATTTGCATCATTTTTGTAATTAATAAATAATTGTTCAATGTCGTATGCTGCGTACTTCGGTACAGAATAGCAGTTCAAGCGGAGCCTAATGAGGATTTTTTACCATGATGATATACATGCACCGTTCAAATTCATCTGTTTATAACGACCGGGCCATGCTTACTTATCTTTTCACCAGAGGCAAAGCACTAAGTTGAACGGCTCTGTACACAACGCAAGATATTTACCCGTTTGATGAAAAAACGTCAATAAATAAATAAATAAATAAAAATAAAAATGTTAAAAAGGAAGAAGAAGAAATATATACACACAAAAAAAAATACAAGTTAACTATATATGTACACTTTAATTTTCATTAAAAATAACTATTTCAAATCATAATATAATACTCTTACAAATATATTCCCTCTTAGATTTAAATATGTACAGAATAATGACACATATAACAAGTTATAGGCTTGAAATGAAAACCACTAAAATTTTAATTTTCCTTTTTGTTAAATTACTAAAATAAAATAAATGGTATTGTAACCAATAGAAAAATTATTGCATTAATTTTTCAAGCATTTTAATAACCTATTGTTTTTGCTTTTCACGAAATAACATCATCAAAAATGTTTTCGAAATCTACTTGATTTCTTACTTTATGTATTACCGAAAAAATGACCAATTCTTGACTAAATGAAGCTATTGCATATTTTTTTATTTTAAATTTACTAAAAATGTTTCCACCGCTAGCAACAGTAGCTGACAACGTTAAAATATACTTATTGCTACTTCCAAATTCAGATGCTAATAAGCTAAATTATATTCGTAAATTAGTGTAAGGATCTAAGCTTTTAGCTGCTTTAATGTCCAGAATTATTGAAACAGTGTGTGACTTTTAAAACTAGATATTTCTGACTGAATTTCTGTATCATTTATATCATTCTGATATTTTAAGGGCCGTTGCTTTTAAATTATTTAAACTTAATGACGTTTCATTTTTCACCTTGTAAAAGTAGAAAATTGGAATATATTTCGTATAAGTTTTCAAACCTCCCCTTCAGTTGAGAGGTTAAAACATCTAACACTTCTTTAAATTCTAGTATGAAAAAAAATATTTTTTCTGAAAAATTCTTTGATTCTTGACAATCCGATTTCTTAACATTTCCTTGCCATTTCTATTCAAATTTTGTTTAGATATTTATCCCTATTGCTAGATTTTTGTGTCTGCCTCAAGAGTACTATTACTAGACCGTAGATTTTTTTCTCGTTTGCAGTAAAAAAAAAAAGGCATAATTCCTTTATTAAGCAAACGGCTTTAAGACAAGTATAATTTTTGATTGCAAGGCTTTATTTTTTTTTTCAGCATTAAATTCTGTAAGGATTATGTTAATTTTATTAACAGTTAAATTTGGAGTTAAATTTCCTATCCTATCGATTCTTAACTTCAACTTACCACTTTCGGCCAGAACGTAGTTTTAGAATCACATCTGAATACATAATGAGGAAGAGTGGTATTTAACCGCGAAGTTCTTCGGTCTTAGCGAGAGAGGTACCAGGTATTTTGGCTGCACGAGTCCGCCTTTTTAGGCTACTCTCAAGTAAGCTATTATCACACTCGGCCGTACTTTAGGCCCTTGGTAGCTTCGCAGTCTATTAACGTTAACGTTTCTTCCACTTTTCTAGCGTGCCTTCATGGTGTAGTGGTTTTGCACGCTTGGCTGGTATTCCAGAGGTCCGTGGTTCGATTCCCGGCAAAGGCAGTTGCTAATTTTTTCTTCTCTCTTGCTTCCAAAAATCCTAATGTCTCTACAAGTGGCGCCCGAACTAAAAGGGTGTTGGATGAGGTTTCTCCACACCCAGGATTTGGCGATTGGGTCCCCTGAAAATCCCAGTCGCCCTTTAAAAAAGGGGAGTATATAAGGTATTTCTCCCACTTTTCTAGCGTGCCTTCGTGGTGTAGTGGTTCTGCACGCTGGGCTGGTATTTCAGAGGTCCGTGGTTCGATTCCCAGCGATGGTAGTTGCTAATTTTTTATCTCTCTTGTTTCCAAAAATCCTTATATCTCTATAAATTTTGATATCTTCTGCTATACCTCTTTAATTTATATT